ACAGGAAAAGCCCTCTGGATCTGTGCTGAGAGAAGGGCTCTATGTCATGCCACTAAAACAGCAGCGAGCAATCAGAAGCAGCCTTACTGACACACTCCAGTGTGGTGAATGCCAGCAGAGGAACAGGGGGTTATCCTTTATAGGCCCTGTTTTAGCTGGTAGCATCCTGATTCCGTTTTACTGTAGTGTGGGCATCTCCAAACGGGAATCCACTGGATGGACGTCACAAGTGTAACCTTTTACATTGAGAGGGGTCAGGTTAAGGCTAATTTAAGAGGTTTGTGCGGGAAAACGTCACTCAGCATGTGAGGAAGGCTTTGTCTTTCCCTGGGTTTTTATGGTTGTCGTCGTGTCATGGCTGCGTTTTCTGTCATCTGCAATGTCCTGTTTACTGTTCCTGCATGGTACAGGTGTTGTTTTCACACACTTGTACAGTATAAGACTAATTGTGGTCATGTAAAAAGGTCAAAGGTCAAGTCCAATCAAATATATGGTAGTGGTTCCTTTTTGGTTCCTGTTTGACTCCCTTTGCCCCTACACTCTGGCCTCCTATCTAAGCTGATATGTACCTCTATTGCCTCTGATGTAATACATAGGCCTAAATAAAATCAAATATATGATGTTAGCTTAATGTTGTACATCTTTATTTTTTTTAGTGTTTTCCAGCATTTGAATTAATATGTAAATTAATTACTAAACTGAAATAAAGACAAGCCCCTGGACGTTTGCTTAGGCCCCCTAGTGGCCCCCGGGTCCCTGGGTGAGAACCACTGCTCTACGGCACATTTATTTGTGAATTGGTAGAGACTGTTCAAATAAGGCAGATGTCCTCGGAAACAAGAAAAAGAACAACAAAAAAAGAACAAATAAAACATAAGCCAGAATTAAAGAATGGTTCACTTGTTATTCAAGTCAAATCAATCACACAAAAGGTTTGAAGACTAATGGAGTTTGTGGTCTGATTTTTTAACCCATCTGATTACCATCTGGCCATTGTTTTGAGATATGATATCCACAGAAAGTGAATCAGTAACTGCCACATGTGAACACATGGTTTTGTAGCATCACAACACAGACATGGTAAGTATATCAAGAAGTACTTCAACTATTAAGATCAATAAAGCTTTCCGGTTTTGTTTGAGTGTATTAATGCGAGAAGTGTACAAAAAAGTGTGAAGAGTCAAGTATACTTGACCTTAATGACGTTAAAGTTATATCACTGACATTGAGACCTACACAATATCCACTCAGCTCACCAAGACATCAGAATAACCTTTGTTGCCCGGTGAAACAACCAATGACATCTAAACTACAACCACTACTGAAGTTGTAAACACTCCTGCACTTGTCAATTTGAATTTTGAACTAATCAAATGCCTGAAAGCCCTGTCAAACCAGAAAAACGTTCCTCTTACCTTGTATGGAAGTGAAGCGATGGTAAATCCCTAAAAGTCTCAGAGCAGGGACATCCCCAGAGGTTTAGTATCTGTATATGTATTTGTGTGTTCGTTTGACAGGATTAACTGTAAGTGTCCAACTCGAGAGTTACTAACTATACATGTGCTGCTGTCCAACTGAATGCACGTCTGAAGCCCGAGGCAAGCTATGGTCACTTCCTGAGTTGTTTTGGAGCGCAAAAGACGATGCTTTTTCCTCAGGAAGCCGGCCATCCCCTTTCCTTTCCACCAGCTCGGAGCTTCCCCCACCACCTCTTAGGCCTCTGGGATCATGGGCACTATGACTCCACTAATTACTCAGGGAATCATGGATGGATGCAGTACAGTATTTTTCTGTTGACTTCTTTACTGACTGGCATGGATACATGTGCTTGTTACTAACATGATAGGTCAGTAGTGGTGCATGGCGTGAGGGAAGTGGATCCGAATGAGTAGGAGTCCTCTGTCCTGCTCGGCTTTTGTCTGAAGCATGTTTTTTGATGCTAATCGTCCTCACAGGCCTAGCACATCTGAAGGTGTTTTCTCAATTGTGGGTTGAAATAAGCAGGGCAGACTCGCTGGGTTACTGTGCCAGGGTCAATGAGTGCACCTGCACGGTCTCTGCGTGGGGTAGTTTGTTTGTTTTCTTACAGCAAGACTCGGCATTGTATTTGACCCAAGGATCTATAGACACTGGGCTTTGATCACCATGTGGCAATGGATGCTATTTATGTTGTTTACATCATGGGAACAAGCATGACTTTGCTGCTTGAAAGAATTCACACAGCTTTATCTTGAAAAAAAACAATGTTTCTTTCCGCGTTTGTTGACAGGCTTCACTGTTGACATGGTATGCTTCTGATATACCATGTGTTTTACACTCAAACAATACAAAATACTAACTCTGTACAGAGTTTAAACCCGTCATTCATGTTTTTCCATCTTTCAATAGGCCTAAGCATTATTGCTGATTGGTTGTTCATGAAAGCTCAATTTATATAGTTATTCGTTATTGGATTAGCCTATTAATCTTATATGGTTTTGTTTATGTAATAGCTTGTGTAACCAAAATAGATGCATGATATGAACAGATTCAATGCTGCCCTCTGCTGTCACTCTCAATACACTTTTTGACAGGATAGCAGAACATCTTTTGTTAGACAGATCTATCCATATTTTTTTTTTATCATAATTTATCCTAAATAATAGGTTCAAGGAGCTAATACATGTTTCACAAACTCATACATCCACCATTATTTAAATTGGATTATATGTGTGAAATTAAAAGGTAGAATTTTAAAGTTGCAAAACCACAAAGCTACATGTAGGCATATTAAGTACTTTAGTAAACATAATAATAATAATTAACTGAATACATATATAGTAGATTTATTAAGATTTAACGGGTTACATGAGCTTGATTTATTCCTGTGTTTCACTTTCTTTGCTTTACTGTTTTAGTTTTGACAAAGGGATTCCAAAAGGAATTGCCCATAATTAATTTTTGCTTAATTTCATATCATTATAGATACAACATTTTAAAATAAAACAAACAGGAGAACTTGAAATATTCACCAAAAGATTTATTATTATTATTATTATTTCTGTCCAATGTTTAAAATGAGATGTGCACTGGAATGTGGATTTCAAAAACCCTTAACTGCAAGCAAATGAAAATGAAAACATACATAAAGAAACATGATAAGAGAAATTGCTGGCATTCTGTCACTGTACAAACAAACAAAACAAAACAAACTAAGTAAATTTGACCATCTTGAGTAGTTAATATAGTAGCAGCAAACAATACCTCATGGTTTTGTCACAAACCAGTCTTTATCCAGGTCCTTCAGATCTACTGGGCATAAGCATAAGCTGTCAATTTTTAACCAAGCATCAAAAATTCATCAGTGATATTCAAACGTTTTTCAGAAAAATAATTTAATCCTACAAAATCTAATTCACAGATATAAACAACACAACAGGGAATTACTGATTTGAAATCTAAAAAGCATACTGACAAAAATCTTTGGTCCATTAGTGGAAAATCCATGAACTCATTATAATCTAAAAACCCAGATATTTCTTTTAAAAAAATCCTTAACATAGGGTCAATATTTCTAAGGGAAAACTATTTTTGAAAGGATATTATGTAGTGTAAAAATTGTTCTTCTCAGGTAACCAAAATTGTTTTTACATTAAAGTCAAATAAATGGTGTAATATTACAGAATAACACTGACTATATTGGGTTATACCAATGAATGTAATTGTAAGGGATCTGGTAGAAATAGTTAAAGTAACAAATAGGCTATATGTTAAGGTAAGTAGGCTACATCTGTTTCAACAAACAAGTCTCGTTTTTCACTGTTTAAAAATGTCAAAATAATGAGGACAACTTGTATAAGGGTCCATGCTGTGCTCAGTTTTTTTACATAAATATTTTTACAGGTTTTACAAACTGATACAAACTGAAGTCAGCAAACTGTCTGTATTTTACAGAAGTGCTGCTGATGCCTTGCTATTGAGCAGTTTTGATACAGGAGACTGACCAGCCGTAGATGTGCAGGTGCTCAGAGTCTCTCACTGTCAGAAGAGCCCTGGCGGTCGGGGAAGACGTGAAGCTGGGGATGTTCAATGCCATTGTTGTGGAGATCTTCTTGTTTCTGCAAACCGTGAAGTTTATTCACCAATTCTGTGATAAAAACCTGATGAAGATGAAGAGGGAAAGCACATCATTGAAAAATCTTTATACCAAAAGACATGTGTCGAAAGAAGTAGTAATTGAATGAAAACAAGTGACTTGTCAACCATATAAGGCCAGTTGAGACGTTGACCAGTTGAGACGGTCTCCTGAGAACTAGTCTGACCAACTAATAAATTAGGCCTAAATCAGACCAATCTACCCTATTATGTAACAGATTTTAAAAAGTTATGATCAGTCTTGAAGAAAAAAAAAAAAGAGATGACTAACTTGTAAGACTACAGTCTAAGAAGTTTATGCAACCGGCCCCTGGGCTCCGATCTTCGTAATTCACTTAATACATCTGAGATGATTTTACAGATGCCAGATCTTCTAATTGATTTCTGGTTAATTTGGTTCTTGAAGCAAATTTGCAGATTTAATTAAAATATAGATGAAGTTGATATTACCGAGTGTGCATATGACATGTTCATTGGAACAAGCATTGATTATATCTATCTATCTATCTATCCAACACTATCTCACGACCAATTCGACGCATGATTAAAAAGTGGCTAATTCGTACTAATTTGTACGACCTCACTCGTACTAATTAGTACGATTTGTCTAAACCCACGTGATGGTTAGGTTTAGGGGCGGGGTCAGGGGTAGGTCATTCGTACGAATTCATACGAATTGGCCAATCGTAAAATTTGTACGATTTAGCAAAATCGTATTAATTCGTACGAGTGAGGTCGTATGAATTGTTACGAATTAGCCACTTTTTTATCATTCGTCGAATTCATACGACTTGGTCGTGAGATCGGGTTGATCTATCTATCTATCTATCTATCTATCTATCTATCTATCTATCTATCTATCTATCTATCTATCTATCTATCTATCTATCTATCTATCTATCTATCTATATATATATATATATACAGTATATATATATATATATAGTATCGATACTCAAACCATGAACAGCAATGTAAGTGATTGGCTGGCATCAACACAGTAACATAATGACATCATGTAATTTAAAATCTAAAAAAGGAAACAGACAAGCAGGTAAAATGACATACAATTTAAAATTGATAAATGAAATGTGTCAATGTTTCTTATACCCAATTATTTTCACTTTTCACAAGTTCTTCTAGTATTTGTAGAGGCTTTACATATTTTTTCAGTAGCCTATTGTAATTAGCAATTCATTTCATTTTAAACATGATGCGGATAAATCTTGATAAGGGTCAATAAAATATGGCACAACCTTTTTTTAATCTATCTGCATCTCCTGCACTTCATCAAGCCACTCGTATAATAGCTGTCAGCGTTCAAATTTATGCATGGTTCAAACTAACTGTATGTAATGTGTCTAAGGATCCAATACAATTATGAGATAATTATTCCCTCACAAACAAATCTCTCAATGAGAAAAGTTTGACATTATAATTAGACTTCACAACCTTAAAATTAGTTTCTAATTCATTTTAAATTATTATTATGTATATAATGTATATAATGTATATAAACATATTTCCATTTTATTTTGAATTATTAATGTCTGTTTAAATAGGGTGCTCTTATAAGAAGGTAGCAATGGCTTGGACAGGCAGTCAAGACTTGTGTATGTGAAATATAAGCCTGGTCCTGTTTGGGCTTAAGAACATTTTTGCTAACTTTGACATTCGAAGAACCTAATAATCCTAGATCATGTCAAATCGTCAACATGTCAAATCCAAATAAATGATTCATCCATGTACAAAGAACGGCCCCAGAAAAGCTTTTAAAAATATTGTCTTGTCAATATCAAATTTGTCAATAGGGGGGAGCAGAGGACGAGTTGTAGAATAGAATGAATGTTTGGCTGGTTAGTTAGTTAGTCCCTGCTGGTAGTTGTTGTAACTACATCATTTGGTGGCAAAAAGCATAAAATATTGCATTAAAGTAGGTTATGTTTTACTAATCCTAGATTTTTTTTTTATTTCTTCACATTGAGAGTTTTGTCAATTCATCAACACTCTCAGTCACTATTTACTAGAGTGTGACAGTGATTCACCATTGTGTCAAAAACTGCAGGGGGTTATTTTGTTAAAAAGAAATTAAACTATGTGCAAAAAAAGGACAGGACAGGACAGCTTTGTTTAAAAAGGAGAGGTGTTTAATTTAAATTGTGTGATAGAATGAAAATAGCTTACTTCTGTGTTGTTACTGCAGCTATGAAGGATGTCCTGTAAGAAAAAGAAATCAAGAGATTTGATAAAAAAGCGTGACACATATCTGTTCCCTGTTGAAAATGAATTTATAGTCCAGGATGGTTTATGCTGGTTTGATTCTGCTCTTGCTACTGGTATGAGCTGAATGACCAAAAAGATCGAGGTGGTTAAAAGGAATATATTCATGTTGTCAGTCACAAAGCCCTATGGCTTTCAATCGTGTGGAACAGAAAATGAAAGGAAAAACAAAAAGATGGAAGAATTTGCATATAAATGTTCATTATGATTTCCTTTTGGGTGAACTGTTCCTTTAATGCTAGTTAAAATACACATGTGACACGCTTGTTTCTTCATCAGTATTTTCAGAGAGCAGATACCTTAAGCTTCTCTATCCTTTCTTCATCACGCTGTAGATCTAGTAGCTCATCAATGTTCACCTCCTCTGGCATATCCTCTTCCTGCGAGGAGAGAAAGAGTCACATTTAAGGCCTGGTTCATTCCAGCATGAATGTGTTCGGCAAGAAAATCTGGTCTGAATTGCACTCTCTGACAGCAGTGGGACTTGGAAATGAAATACCCTGGTTACTCTAGTACGCAATATTCAATTTCTTGATCTGCCTCCTCCAGGGGCAGCACTTGCAGGTTCACCACCTGGTCCCGGAAGGGAGTGGTGGGAACTTTGGGCACATATCCAGGCCGGGGTCTCAGGATCACGTGAGAATATGCCGGCCCGAATTCCAGGCACGCTTCGTCTACAGAAAATGCGTGCAGGTCCCCTACCCTCTTAACCCTTTCAAGAGAGACTTGTTCTTGTAAAAGAAACAATTGCATTAGATGTGTACTTTCAGATGCATTCTCACTTGACTGCCCACAACATACATCAATGAATCCCTTGCTAAGCCATCCCTAAACATTAGAAGTCCTACTAAATGAGTACTGTGATGAAATCAGAGGGTGGTGTTGGCATAAAAATAAAAAAAAAATCAAAGTATTGTCTCATCTCCCATTCTACTCAGCAGCTGTCAGTCTAGGTCAGACAGCTGTATGGGCGTAGATTGTGCGGGGGATGTTTTTCATAGGTTAACTGGGCCAATGTGTATACATCCAGATTTAAAATTCAAAGAGTCAATATAGTCTATCTACACACGTGACTTTCACATTTCCATAGTCATCAGTCACTCATCCATCACGACACGCCCATGCTCGCACCCGCGCTGTATCCATCATTTTCATAGAGGTCGCAATGAGTTAAAAACGAAAAAGTCAAGCACTGTAAATTGGCATGTGGTATCCGAATTGTTGCACAATTATGAATAACTCTGCTTATTTCTTTTGTTGAATAATTAAAAAGTGTGGGTAAATATTCACTACCCGCACAAACGTGCACGTACTTTCAGTCTTTTTTTATTCGTAATGTCTTTTATTTTCACAGACATGTTCAAAGCCCTTCAAATCAGAATAAAGATCATGATTGTTAATGCTGAATTTGATTTTCATGTATTAACAGCCACTATTTATCTGCTTGAATCAGGCAGCAGTGTTATGTGTACACAATGTTTTCTCTAATAGGAAATGGGCTAGCTGAAATAATGCAATCTATTATTTATGTTATACACCTTTGTGTTCAGAAAATGATTTAATCTTACTTCACTTCCCTTTTTTGTGGCTTGGTGCAATACAAAATAGGCCAAGAGTAATTTTCAGAGACTTCCAGTAAATCATTTACCAATGCCAAACCAACTTGTAACCTGCCACCCACCAAATGTTTGCATGTTTGAGGGAGAAATAGGAATGTTAAATATTAATTTAAAAAAAACTAATATAAATTCAAAGTAAAGAGACATGGTGTGACCAAAACCTAAATGGTGGGATTCAGTCTAAACTTCCCATCTTAACAGCACCAAGGATGACAACTACACGTATCTTCTATTACCAAAGCTCCAAATTACCATCAGTTTAGTGTACTATCACACAACAGGTTAAGAGCTGGTCATGCAAGCCAGTGCTTTTCCTGATAAGGTTACGGATAACTACAGGGAACAGTGTTGGTGTAGGAGAACTTTCAAAATCCTGAAACTAACACCACTGTCGAAAGGTCAATCGGAGTAAGATCCAAGCTGAAAGCCCTACCAGGGCACCAGTGACCTTTCTTTTAACTCCAAATGCCACTGAAATGCTGTGAAACAAATATAACCTCTTGCACGATGAACATTCAGGGCAATCCTCCAGTCATTTAAAGTTTGTGCCTTTGCTTTCAATTCATTCCTAATCAGAGATGTTTTGCACAATGAATTGAAAATTAGTAGCAAATATTATTTAGACTCAAAATTTATCAAAAAAACTACACAATTTAGTTGTTAAACTACAAAATGCGGTTGAAATGCATTTTTTTTAATTTAATTGTGTAAATATTTTGCTTTTATTCTCATACATCCTGGCGTCAACACATTTTGGCTGGTCTCTAATTCCCTAAAAACATTTCCTCCTGACCAAACATGAATTCTTTCACCTTTTACTGCAAGCGTGAGTGCTGAGTCAATCACTCCAACTGGTTTAGCATCACCCGATCCCCCTGGGCTGTGATTCAGCCTCTATTATTTCCAGGCCAGTAGCTAATGGGTAAGAGGTTTTTTTTCTTCCTGATTTCTTTGAGATGGGCTGTTTTTTTTTTCTTCTTCTGAGTTCCCATGCCTTATTAACAGCTGTGACCCTAATTCAAATGCCCATCTCCTGTGTATTTGAGCAAGTATTTATATTTATGATGTTAGAATGTGACTAAATCAATATTTCCAAACATTCAAAAAAGAATGTAGCCAGTCCATTTTCAAGAACTAATCTGACGAGTGAGGCAAGTCTTTTTTTAAGATGCATCACTGGTGTTTGCTAAGGCAAGCACGATCATTATTATTTACTCAATCATAGAGCTATAGGGAATTTAACGAAGCCATAACCGTATATATTACACTTCCACATGTATCGTGTCCTGCACTCATTCTGTTTAGTGTTACAATTTTATCCATACAATGAATGTCAACAGGGTATAGTGTTATTTTGGACCCAATTGACTTTCATTGTGTGGAAAAAATTTTTTTTTTTAATTTTTGAAATGTAAGAAATTCATAAAGGTTTGGAGTAAATGATGGCAGAATTTCCATTTTTAGGAGAACTATCCGTAACATTAAAGGAAGGAACCAAGCTGTATCTAGAGACCGACTAGCAAGTGGGCTTTTTTAATGTTAATCCAGTAAGCCAATAACTAGCAACCACCCAGAACTTATAGCAACATGCCAAAAACACTCTCTGAGAAGTGGTTCTCAAACAGGATGACTGAAAATGTTTTTAAATAAGCCAAAACAACTAAAAATCAAGGTTTTAATTCAAACACAGCCTTATTTTTTCCCTTTATCCTTCAAGAACCAGGATTCCCACTGACTCTATAAGAGATAGCCTATAATTTTAAAAGTTAGATTTCTAGACATGGAATAAAATGTAAATTCAACATGTAACATAAAACAACAACCTTACAACTCCATGGGCTTTTTTGTAAAAAGCCAAGCTCTAAAATATTTTATTGGGTAGAAATTATAGGTCAAAAAATATTTATAAAAAATCCACCCTCAATCCTTATAAAGTATTTTCCAAAAAATGGAAAGGAGCCTTCAAAAATTGTTGTGGACAATGAGGGGCCTTAAAGTAAAAAAGGCTAAGAACCACTCACTTAGAACACTTTAACTGCGTAGCAACACCCTGGCAACGAACCACAGCACTATAGCATTGTGGCAGACACCTAGCAATAAAAATTAATTTTACAATTTACAAAATGTAGTTCAATATTTCGGTTTTTAATTATTTGACATACTTTTGCTTGATAAACTACAAAAGATACAGCATTCGCAGATCTACGGACAATCTCAGCATCGCTAGCTTTTCAGCGCCTCTCATGTCAGCTCTGTCCCTTTGTATCCATCCAGAGTAAAATGTCAGATCGTATGTGCATCATCTGTCCTCAGGACCACATAAATTGTGATGTAATACGCTGTTCCAAATTAAAGGCAAAAGAGCATGTGAGAGCAACAACACGGACCGACATTGCATAGTCTAATTACACTATATGTGATGGTTAACGTTTATTTAAAAACAATTCAATTTTCCACAAGAAACAATTTTTTAAATATTTGTACAGACAGAATAAATAATTTATCGCAGCCTGTGGTAATTAGTGATCTCTTTACTATAACAGACCATATTAGGAACAAGAACTCAGCTGTGGGTCATCTCTGAAATGTAATATTGTTTATAAACCTTCTAAATACAGATCTCAGCTTCATTTCTTACATCTGCTGTTTTGCTCTGTTTGCTCCTTGTGATGCTAATACTGTATAAACACTCTGGTAAAATCTATCCAGGTGCATTCATTTTCTGTTCATCATTCCCACGGGAATGGAGCTAGCATACAAACTTAGATGTTATTAGACATTCCTTGTTTTATGACATATAACAACAATAGATTACAAAACATAAAGCATTTTATGCATTTAGGTGAAACGTTTGTATCCTTAGAATAACGCAATATCATTCATCTAATAGCACAGGTATGTCTTGTCTGGATCTTGAAAACATCTACAGTAATTAACATCTTAGAAAAAGCAGTTTTACATACATTCTAAACCATAAACATCTTAAAGACATCTTCTACATGTGTGCGTGACATCTGACAGATGTCTCATAGACGTATTGCAGGTCTCTATGATGTTTGTGTGCTATGTCAACTGAATTTGTATTTTCTTTCTTTTACCTTATATAGTATTTGGCTAATTTGTGTTAATTTGGCTGACTTACCATTTGAGGGAATGATATGCCTCGAAATGCCTATGAGTGGATACATAGCCTTTGACATCAGGCACAAGATGTACGAGAAGTGTTTTCTCCTTCCTTTTAAAAGTTGATGAGCCTGTTTATTTAGCTACACCAACATTCTTTGGATGTGTTTTCCATTAGTTCATCAGAAAAGACTATTTTAGGTCTCGACTAAACTGTTTTAGAACCACTGCTGTTAACTATTACTATTTTTGGGATTATTACACATTGGATATGTCAAATCAGAAGCACAGAGTTTTGTGCCTCTTGTTTGGACCCATGTTTAATGACATGGAATAAAAGACAATGGAGCCGACTACAAACATGTATCTGACCAGTATGGGACTCAAATCTGTTTTGTTTTTTAGTAAGCTTTTATAGAGATGTGGGCTTATGGTCCCGCTTAATGGGGCTTGTGAAGCCCTTTGCATGGACCAATAATAGCGGGTAGTTGTTTTGTGGGATGGGGGGTGGAGGACAGTTGCAGAAGGGCTTTCTTTGTGATACAGTGACATATGGGGTCTTCATTTCCACAGACCCCATCCCCCTCATTCATAAAAAAACACCCCATGAGACAAATTTACCATCAATCAATCCCAGGACCATAAGAGCAGGACGTTGTCGGGCCTGCTGCCGACAGGAAATGAAGGGGGGGATCTGATTACAGCCTCAGTGGGGGCTGTTTCTTTTTAGCACCAACATCACATCTTAAAGATCACAAAAAGATGACTGCTGAGAATCATCCAGTCATCATGTGATATTGTCCCATAATATAAGTGTGTTCAGTGGCTGGGACAACTCAAGTTCAACTACAAAGAGAATAAACTTATAGTCATATACTTATAGAATTATAATGTTGATACACAAATGTGCAGGTGAAGTGACACACTGAGATCCCTTATACTGTAGTTTTGTATAGTTTTATTGGAATTATTGGTTTTATTTCCTTTTAAGAAATGTGCTGAAAAAGGACATTATTTTTATTCTATTTTTTTTTTACTGTAACAAACAATTCAATTTAAATGGAAAAAGTTTTTTATATTTTAAAACTGTATTATTAAAACATAATTTTTCAGTGTCCAATTTAAAGTTGACAGTTCAAAAGCAGCTAGACCTTGTGTAAAAAGTAAGGCATTTATGTGACAAAAAAGTATTTAGAGCTTAAATACTATTTTAATTAGTAGCAGACGTATTTGGAAATATACTGTTTGTGAAACTGCGGAAAACCACGGGATGATGAAACTAAATGTGTTCGAACACCCCTAGGTCTCCCCTACAACGTTTCATAATCGCCTTTGTCGTGGCAGGACGCCACGTACGTTCCACTGACAGAGCCTAAGCAAATCTCTGTTCACATCCACCATCACAAAGCCCAGTGACTGTGAATGTTTACCATTTTCCAGACAGCTGTTGGCATCCAAGAGCTCTCCATGTAAGGCAGCATGCGTCTTTAATCATTTAAGATCAGCCCCCTGATTGTTGCTCATGGGAACTGGAGACTGAGAAAAAAAAAAATCCCCTCCATCCTAAAATACCCCAAGACACAGGAATGTGAACTAATATAAATTGTCGACATATCAGGCATGTTTACTGGTCTTGCACCTCTTGTTTTTTCAAGCCTCCCAGGAGAACAGGACAAGTACCCTGATGTAACTATCCGTGATCAACAATTAGCTGAGTCAAAATTTGAAAAAGCCTTTTAGAGATGCCAGTCTCTGATGTCCCCAGAGTGTATAGGTGAAGTTTTAGCCCATGAATACCCCACAGATAATTTTTTATGGCATGTTAAAAGTGTCAATTTTTGAGAGTGAGCAAAAACTTGTCGTTTTGTGTGCGTCCCTTTAAATGCAAATGAGCTGCTGCTTCCGGCACAGAGGGCGGAGCTTCAACAGCTTGTGTGTTAGCCGCTCTGGTTGCCTCACGCAATGACTGGTTTCTGAATGGTTAGTTGATAAATGTATGAAGCTGATGTGGAGTTATCTATCTTCAAGTCATTGATTAGCATTATCTTTCATGATAATCTATAAATCAGAGTGGGAACTGTTGTAAGATGCCTACAGAGTGTTGTAGATACCTACATTTGTTGTAGTCCTAAAACCGTTTTCTGCAATATCTTCATTTGCTTTGAACTTTGAGCGTCGTAACTTTGCAGATGTTATTTATGCTCAAACAACAACATTACACACTAACTTAAGTTAGAAAACCACCTCAACCACCCCTTTAGATAAGGGACAAATTCGTACGAATTCGTACGAGTGATTCAAAAGTGGCTAATTCGTACTAATTCATACGACCTCGATTTGTCTAAACCCACGTGACGGTTATGTTTAGGGGCGGGGTCAGGGGTAGGTCATTCGTACGAATTCATACGACCTCGATTTGTCTAAACCCACGTGACGGTTATGTTTAGGGGCGGGGTCAGGGGTAGGTCATTCGTACGAATTCATACGAATTGGCTAATTCGTAAAATATGTACGATTTAGCAAAATCATACTAATTTGTACGAGTGAGGTCGTACGAATTGTTACGATTTAGCCACCTCGTAAAATTCGTACGAATTCCCGTGAGATCGGGTTGGACTGTCGGTAACAATTTGTTCAGACTCTTTGTGTCCAAGGTCACGACACAACAAGTTGTTTATTAGGGGCCATTTACACAACACATTTTCAACTAAATACTGAAAACTTTTTATGCGTTTTGGCCGTTCATTTACAACAATGGCGTTTTGGGAGCCTGAAAGTGGTTTCAAAGTGCACATTTTTGAAAAAGATATCGTTAACTTCTCTGTGTAAACTACAAAAACGTGAATTCGTGAAAACGGTGACATAATGCACATGCATGTTACGTAGGCTATTTGGTGCGTAGTGTCTCCTAACAAAGTGACATCATCTGGCTGGCATGCAGAATACAGCGATTTTAATCATTTCCATGGATTCGTGTGAACAGGGGTCTTTTAGACTATGTTGTCGTCTGTGCGTGAAAAACAAAGGAAAAACTTTGTCAACAATGTCATGTTACAGTCGGCATAAAATCAAATTTGACATTCAATTCTTCTTTTTATGTGTAATATTGTAGTGTTTATTATAAATGATTTATCTGTGCACTTCATTATTTTTTTTTAATTCAAGTACCCTTGTTATCTTTAATCAAATACTTTACCCTTCCCTCTCCCATCGAAACGACATCTCTTCTATTTCGGTCACGTGCAATGGCGAAAGGGTGTGGCCAGAGCCGATGAGGGTGCCGCTATGGTTGCACCGCCTCTCAGAGGATCGCATTCAAATCTGCCTCCATTTTGCAACAATCAATCCAATCAATTCCCGAAGGACGAAATCAAGCCCTGCCCTACATTTTCTTTTTCTAATTTCAGAGGCCGTTTCACTCGGATATACGTCACAACAAGGAAAAGATGACAATCTCAACTTCCATTTCACACCGACTTTAATGTACCCTTAGAAAAATAATTGAATGGTGATATTTCTGGGAACTATTAATTCTATTCTATATTCTATTCTATTCTATTAATTTTCTGTCCGACTGATGAATCTAACAAAATAAGATACATTTAATTAAAAGTGATATAGTGTTCACATTTTAAAAAATTTGGAATTTTAATGATTGTTTGTGAAGAGGAGCTATGATAGAAAGATGACTGCCCTCAAATCTATCTTATCAATAGAAAAGTAGTTGACTGGGGACACAGTATCCTCATGCAGAAAAAAAGAGATGAAAATGAAATAAAAGTAATTGGGTTTGTTGAGGAAAAATTACTACAATAACACATAGTAAAAGTTGGCATCAGCTTGTCATTGTTTACACATTCATGAGGGACACACAAAAGGCAATCGTTTAGTGGTATGACCCAAGGAAAGGTTCACGCCCTTCATGAATAAACGTGCGGCATAATCACTGATGAGAACATCAAAAGGTACTCAACTCTACCAAACGATATTTCGAAACGTACTTGCCGAATTGAACATAGCTACTTCATCACATTTTATGGTTCAACAATTTACATTCAAATTCTGCATTCAAATGGTGTGACACCTGCTTCACAATCGAATCACGCACGTAGCCCTGGCTAGTGTATGTGCACATTTCCACGTGGATAGTGATGCTTTTAAATCTACTCCCACTTATAGAAAACTTTCATTATAAAATATTGTTGCATTTTACCAATAAATGACTACACCAATATGACTGAGAACATAACAGATTTATCATCAACGCCTTTTGCTGTTGGCAGCTCATTAAATATTCACAGAAATCATTTGAAAATAATATTTCATTCATTATAGATTTTATTTTAATCGTATGCCATTATTCTTTGTTCCAAGAGGACTCACCCTTCCCAAATACAGCTCGTCAAGTCCACAATCTATCCACTTTTCCACATCCAGACGCTTCTGGAGTTCCTTTCTGTTATATTTGACGGTGACTCGTGCTTGTCTCTTCTGGACGCTCAGTCCAGCATCCCGGCTGGTACCTCGGCTCGGTGAGTGGATCTTATTGTTATAACGCTTCCCCACCCGATTTGCAGCCATCTCCAGAGTGACCCCCTGGATGGACACTTGCATTCAAATAATTGATCAAGAGTCTGACTCTGGCGGAGTAGGTGCGCTCCTCTGACACCTCCAAAGCGCGCTGGGCCGCGGGGTCCTAGCGCTGCCTGCGAGATCACTGCACTCTCGCTCTCGGGGTCTGGAGACCACCAGAGGCCCGCAAGGAGGCGCTAAAGTTAGAGTTAGAGTAGTGTGTGTGAAACTAACAAACAAACGAAAAGTTTAGTAGCCCTCAAACCGTATTCACTTTATAGCCCTTAATCCTATAATTTTGGACAAATGTGGGCACAGAGGACTAGTGTGATCCTAATTTTTATATTTATTATAAATGTATATCACTGTCTTCGATAAAGTTTTTTCTATCTATTTATGGTGTTTTTTTGAATTTATTTACTTCAAAAAGTACCATATTTTCTATGTAAATTATGCTTATTTTTATATTTTATTTTTTTAAATATCATTCCAATAAGTTCTTAGAGCTAAAACCTAAAGATGAAGTGGCTTTGCGATCACCTGGTGTCTTATTTTGGCTTATTTTAGAATGCTCTAAATTACAGTTTTTCCCATTCATTTCTATGGGTTGCCAAGTCTTGTACCGCTCAGATCAAGGGAAGAATTATTTTTTTTTAAATAAAACAACTATTTTGCCCACATTTGTCCAGAATACTGTTTTAGGGTTAAGTCATTAATTTATTTTTCACAAACATCTGTTCATGATTTAATTTAATGGCAATTGATGCATGCTATTTTATTGATATAATGGCTTCAAAATGCAATTTTTCAATTTTCTAAATTGTTATATAATTTCTGTAAATGTCATGTATTATAATCAATCATTTAACTGATTTATTAGCAAGTCTAAAATGCATACATTAATTATAAAAAGGGAATCTATGATGATATTATGCTATTAATGCATCATTGGAAGCTCAATTTTTTTAAGAAGCAACTCTAAAATACATTTTTTTTTTCGTTGATAAACTAACTCAAAATTAGGATGAAGGCTTAGCAATACACAGACAGTTCCCACACACACGTTGTTGTTATTTATCATGGTGGTGGCTATTTTCCACTGATGCCCGATTTTTATAAGGACCTAGGGATATGTTCTATCTCCTACATAAACCTAACTTACACAAACCATCTAAGCTGTTTTATTGCGGTGATTGTTGGCTGGTAGTGTAAAGAAAAAAATCTTTCCCTCTTTGCAAAAATTCCTCGATGCAGTTACAGATGCCAAATCTTAGACTTTATTGTTGAAGACAACAAAGCTGATTCCTGCAGATCTAACTCTCTTCTTTTACATTTGCTCAGCAATGAGCATTCATTGGCTTAGGCCTATCTTTAATTTTATTAACCCATCCTCCTTTGTCCGGTTTAATCAATTCCTTATCTTCTTTGGCTTCTTTTTAATGGTGTGCCACCAGTTGGTCTATTTAAAAAAAGAGAGAAACATTTAGCAACTTATTATCATTACGTAGGTGCAAGCTCTTGGCAATTTCAGCTGAACTGAGAGGTGCTACAGTGTGAATCATAGTGTCACTATTATATAATTGTGCAGACTACAGTCTATAAACATATCTCAAACGTCCCTAGCCCTATAGTCACAATCAAGTTGATTTTCCGGTTTTTGCTTTTCTTGAGGGGACATGTTTTCCACAATGTAAGCAAAACCAGACAGACACACAAACAAACACACACAATGTTAATTGCAGCGTTAAGAAGAATATATTCCAATCCATCATCAATAATACAATAATTTGAGGAAATGATTTGAGTTTAGCTTAGCGGTTCTACGATTTCTGTGGCTCTATGAGGACCTTGTAAAAGACAAACAGTGACGTCACTTAAGAGGAAGTTGTTGTTGGTTGGTTGCATTTTTTGTTTGGAGAGAAGACAGACACCTGTTGCGTATGTAGGCTAGTCTATACACAAGCGAAACAGTTTAAGAATCGAGTTTGGTTTAAAAGGTGGTGATTATAGAGCTTGTTTAACTTTGTTCGAGTCGCAGTCATAAACGAGAACAGCTTGGACAGGTAGACAGGAAGTGAAGAATGGGTCAGGTGCGTTTCACAGCCTCCATCGTTGGGTTTCTCTGTTGTCTGTCTGTTCTAAACGCGTGTGAGTGGGACTCAGACACGGACGTCGAGCAGGGTCTAGATTTGAGCTCATTTGATAACGGCGCGGCTTACCTGGCTTACCTGCCGGACATCTCGGACAAAGAGCAGTGCCAGAATGCTTGCTGTGAGAGGGAAGAATGCCAGATCGCTCTGATCGGGACTCCTGCGGACGACGGCAGTCCAGAATGCCGCCTGGTCAACTGTTTGAAAGACGGCAAAGACGTGTGTGTTTTGACCCAGAGCACACAGTTCAAGGTGTACCGCAAGATCCGGGATACCGCTGAGCAAAAACACCAAAGCGAGGCTGATGTTCGCTCTGGAAACACAGGTACCTTAATAAGCCTATTACCAGGAAAATTTAAATTGTCTTAAAAATCAAAATTAATGATAAAATGCCATAATTAATATAGACTTAGTTATTTGAGCTATTATTAGCCTACTATAAATTAATATGTGACTATACTTACCGTTTTGTTTTAGCGTAAACTATGTAAAAATGACCATATGTTGTTAATTATAATTGCGTAAAAATTAGGGAAGGTTTAAGAATACTGGTTAAATTGGTTTCATAATGTTTTGTAAATTTTTTTTTTTTTCAAAAACAGTAACCTAACGTTTGGCTAATAAATGAACGTTAAACTTATTTTCATTTTTTTTTATCTATTTTTTCTATCTATAAAAACAGACACGTTTTTTTTTTTTGCCAAATGACAACACAGTGGGTTTCTCCATGTTGGTTAGCCTACATCAAAAGTTTTTCAAATATTTATAATATTAATTATAAAACAAAATTTCTTTACTGCTTTTTAAAAACTTAGCAATAAACAATAATGCCAATTTAGTGTGTTGTTATTAGTTCATGCAGTAACTTGTTTCTCTAGGCTATATGTTACCTTATGTAATGTACAATAGGCCTAAAGGGGAAGGACAGGGAAAAGTTTAGTATTTGATGGAATATATATGAGAATAAGTAATATTATACTTGTTAATATTTATTTATGACCGTGTTAATAATTAAGTTTGAAATAAACCCAACCCCAAGAAGAACAAAGTAAATGCTGTTTAGAAGCCCTTCCCTTTTTCCACGTATTGCAGCATTGTTGTCCAGTGGCCTCCACCTGACCAACCCGTACTTCAGGTTTTACAACCCAGCACTGTTAACTAAAGTCTTTAATAGCGTAAGTAAGGGTAAAGACATACAAACATTGCAAAACCTAAATGACACATTCACTTTAGTAACACAGTAGCTATATGTTACAACAAGTGATAAAGTGTGGTCAGAGGCCTGCAATAATAGGAAATCTGAGAAGTACATTTCCTACAGTTTGGACAGTCAGTACATGTTCAATACTTTGAGACTATTCCTTTTCTTCTGTCTTATTAGATCTCTGCCGTCTCCCAAGTGCAGTGGGAAAATGCCGCGCTGCTTTCCCACGATTCTATTACGATGTCACCAATCAGACCTGCAAGCAGTTTATCTATGGCGGCTGTGATGGCAATGATAATAACTTTAATACCCAGGAGGAATGTGAGGCGTCCTGTAGTGGGGTGACGGGTAAATATCAGCCAATATTTTTTTACACATTGCATTTTCAGTGTTATCCAAACCTTTATTTTGTAAAAGGTTTACTGATGATGGTTTACTGATGATGTACCAATATATAAAAAAGAGATGTGAAGAAAAAAAATTAAACATTACAAAAGGTAATGATTGTACACGTCAGAAACAATAAGCATTTTTATAAAGATGAGTCTTTAGAGACTTCTTAAAATAGTCCAGTGTTGGGGAATTTTTAATCACCAGAGGAAGTTTATTCCACAACCGTGGAGCTGTAACAGAGAAAGAACGACCAGCCATCCACTTAAATATGGGCTGCTGAAGAGTTGGAAGAGCGGAGAGAACGAATTGGAGTGTAAGGAGCAACTAGATTACAGAGATATACCCGCACTATCCCATGAATGGCTGGCTTTATATGTTCAAATCAATACGTGCCGACACTGGAAGCCAATGGAGTTAATAAAGAACAGGGGAAATATGCTGTGTCAATACACGTGCAGCCGAGTTTTGAATATAATATAATTTCTTAATATACTTATCAGGGAGACCAGAGTAAAGTGCATTACAATAATTTAGTCTTGACGTATTAATAAATGCACGGATGAGACTTTCCGCATCTGGCTGAGATAAAAAAGCCCCTATTGCTAATGTTTCTATATAATTTAGTCCCAAAGCTAATTGTGATGGAGATACTTTAAGATATTGACCTTGTGCAAATCAATTTTTATAGCTTCACATACACAACTGTTACGGTTTATTTAATCTTTGTGGAAAAAAGTCTCTCATGCTCATCAAGGCTGTATTTATTGGACCAAAACTAGAGGAACACAGAATATATGATTACAATTTAAATAGCTGTTTTCTATTAGATTTCAAATATAATTTATTAATGTGATTGCAAGTTAGCCATTAGGTCTTCAGTGTTACATGATCCTTTAGAAATTATTCTAATATGCTAATATTAATAGGAAACATTTCTTATTATTATATGTTGAAAACAGTCGTGGTGATGTATATTTTTGTGGAAACATGACAAAGTTTTTTTTTTTTGGGATAAATTTAATGCACCTTCACTAAATAAAAGTATTGGTTTCTTTTAAAACAAAAAAGCATTTAACTGGTAGTGTAAAAATCATTCTGTGAAGAAGTGCCAAAGCGTTAATTAATTACTTGCTATTTCCTGTTTTGGACTTCCTGCTTTATAGATAAGCTGTTGTGTCATGCACTTCACATGGCATTCGTCATTGTTAAGGCATTAAAGTTGAGATGACTGTACTGTGTGTAATGTGTATTTAGTCTATTGAAGTTCAGAGACAAAACAGAGGCTTTTATGATGGACAAAAGCAATCTTCTTTAAAGTGTGGTTTTATATTGAGTAATTGTATTAAATTTGTAAAATTGAAGCACACAGTTGATGCCTGCACATTATGATTTAAAGGATCCATTTAGTTGTTTAATCTCCACTTGATCCATTATAGGACTGTAATATTTCAGATTACTAATATTTAAGCTACCCAAAGTGTGTAAGCAGTCTAGTTAGGGTGTAGTATGTGGAAAAATGTGATGCAAATCCATAAACACATCCTGGATTTGAGGACGGCTACCATTTGCATCAAGGTAATGTTTGCATTTGGCTTGCATTGGGCCCCAAGTTTTTGGAGTTTAAGTCTTGACATACTGGTATGTGAGGCCCAGTTTTGGAATCCATCCCATTACAATCAATGTAAAAGTCACTTGGAACAGTTTTAGAGCATATCTGTCTTATGATTTGACATGCCTGTGGTGTCGAAAACTGAGGTTTCGACAAGGAGACCAAAATATGAGCTTTGGAAAACCATACAACTTTTATTACAGCCTTTCTCCAGTGAGAGTGGGCACAAATCAAGTACCCACATTGTAGTTTGTGGTTGGCTATGTGCTGAGTTGGTTTATGTCCGGCTATATTTTAATGGTGTTGAGTTGATTTGCATGTAGTAGTAATATGTAGTAGAGTTCAGCCAGGTAACTTGTCACGGGGCCTGTATTATTAAATTATTCTCAAATCAAAGTGTATACCTTACCCTAATTTTACAGGCCGAAATCAAAACCACTTCGGTCAAAGTCAGTTAGGTCAGTTTGTTTTCACATTTTTGGTGAGGCACAGAACAACTTTATGTTGAATCTCTTAACAGGACACTCTGGTTTCATCTTACTCTAGTTGTATAACCGGTTTGATGAACTCTATGCAGATTAATTACCTGTTCTCAACAAGGACATGACAAACACGTGAGTTGTCACCATGTTTTTGTTTTCTTTGACCTCTTCCCTCTTTTACAGGAATTGCATTCGAATGAGTGATCTATCTTCACATATTCACTAAGAGGAAAGAGGAAAGACTTTTTAATGTTCTTTATGGCTCATTGTGCTTTGTGCCTGCTTTATCCAAGTGACCATTTGTGATCTGTGGAATTACCTCATTTTGTTGAGTTGAGATGATGTTTAAAAGGGAAAAGATGCCATCTGCTTTCAATAGAGATGCTATTATTGTCATACAAAGAATTTTATTTACAACATTCTGAGCTGTTTAGTGTTATGCAACGATATTGTGCGTGTTTGTATGTGTGTGGGCCTTTATTTGTGTAAGGGTGTTATTTATTGTGCAACTATATATTTTTCAACATTCCTTACTATGAATTTCCCTCATGGAAAAGTTAAGTTTAGTTTGTTACTGAATTACCTTTCGAACATTTGTGGTCAGTATTTTTTTTTTTTTTTAAGAACAAAATGATCTTAATCAGCAAGAATGCATTAATTTGATCGGAAGTGACATTAAAGACATGAAAGACAATCTTACAAAAGAAATGCTGTTCTTCTTTACATCCTGAAAAAAATTTATCACGGTTTCCACAAAAAATATCCAGCAGCACAACTATTTTCAACATAGATGATAATAAGACATGTTTCTTGAGCAGCCAATTAACAAATAAAAATGATTTCTCAAGGATCATGTGACACTGAAGAATGAAGTAACGCTGAAAATTCAGATTTTCATCACAGGAATAAATTACATTTTAAAATATGTTGAAACTGATAACTGTTATTTTAAATTGTAATAATATTTCACAATAGTACTGTCTTTAAATTCAGTCTTGGTGAGTATAAGAGACTTATTTCAAATACAATATAAAATCTTACTGGCACCAAACCTTTGAATGGTAATGTATGTCTCCTTCTATGTTCAGAAATATAGCACAGTAATTTAAATTGTCTTTCTGCTCTCTTCAGGTTCTGTTCTTACGGACTCGCATTCTGTCGCTCAACGCAGCAGAATGTCCATACCCGAAAACAACTATGGTAATCAAATCCGTCTTCATATCTACAGTATATCATAATCCAGATGCCCCAATGACACCAGTTCTCAGAGATATATGCGATTATGACTTGGCAGTTTTTTTTTTTTTTACAACAGAGAAACACTGATCATTTTGTAATAATAAACAATCTCAACAACTGTCCTCAACTAATAATAAATATTAAAATGCATTAATTTGTCCTTTTGTAATGAATTAAAAGAGGGTCTGCGATGTCCAGGACCCAGTAATCATTCACAAAGGAAAACAACATTTTTGCTATCCCACATTTTATTACTATAAACATTTCTTTGTTTTAGTTCCCGTCAGCTATTTACACATGCATTTACTACAAAGTGTTGTTAATCAGCACACCATGACCAATTAGTCTGGAGTACTAGTAATTTACAATGCACATTAAAACTGAGACCATATTCACTTGAAAATGGAAACAAAAGACATTTTATAGTTTCCATTTTACCATGTGACAAAAATAAACTTTGTACTTATGTATTCTGTCTTGTCCTCCTCAGATGTTGAACCCAAGGCTCTTCCAGAGATGACATCAGAGGAATTCCAAGGTATTTTATCATTTTTGTTTACTATGAGTTTACAAGTAAGTTTTTAGTGGTTTTGGCCACATCTTTGAGTAGAGTACAGTTGTACACCATTGGTTCTACCATCTGTCTTGCCGTATCAGACAAGTGTCTGGCTGAAGCACAGACCGGACTCTGCAGAGCCTCCATTAGACGCTATCACTACAACAATGGCATCTGTCAACCTTTCATCTATGGAGGCTGCGGTGGCAACCAGAACAATTATGAAACTGAGGAAACATGCATGACGACCTGCACAGGTACAGTTGTGTGCGACTATTCATTTCCTGATCAGCTTCAATCACTATAAATCACTGTAAAATTATAACTATGTCTTTGTATCCCAGTGAGGCTCATTCCCAGCAACCAGAAGGCAGATGTCATTCCCTCTACTCCTATCCCTGACAACCTCCCCAGCTTTGAAGGTAAAATGGCAGATTATAAATCAGCTGTCCTGAATTTCCCCATTTCAAACTTATCACTAGTGAAGCAATAATGAATGTTTGTAACACATTAGCTGTGGAGGAGTAAGACGTGTTTTGCGGTGGCTCTTTCAATTATTTTTATTAGTGCTCCTTGTGAAATGCGGTTAGACATTATAAGCAACTAAACTCAATTGAGTCTGACTCTGTAAAAAGAGAGATAACTGCAGTTCTGGAGCCGTTTGAGAGACGATTATGAGCCTTGAACGTGCTGCTAATAACCAAAGTAACCAATTGGACGAGCTACAAGCGAATGTTTACAAGCTGATTGCTCAGGTGGAAAGTCTTGAGGGTTATTTGAGGTGTAAGTTTTGTTTGGCAGTCAGATGTTTTTGATTTTAAAATGCTGTTCCATGTTGGCAACCAGGTTGGCATATCTTACTCCTTAGCTGATTAACATTTTGTTTCATCATATGACTCTCATCTTAGATCATTTTCCAATTGGGGTGATATAAATTTGTTAGTTTCAATTCTAAAGGTTTTAATAATCCTATTAAATGAAGCAAAGTTCTTCATCCATTTAGATGCTCATATAGCCTATTGGCAGGAGACCCACATGAGCATCAGGAACCAGTGAATTCGTGAGGCAAATGTTCCAATCTTCATTTTTTGGGAAATCCAAAGGTGTAGCTATTCTCCTACAGTACATAAAGCTAAACCATTTGTACACTCACAGGTGCTCTCTGGTAGATTTGTCAAATTTATCATGTAAATATTGTTCTAGCTAATGTTTATGCCCCTAACTGGTCTGGGATGACAAATCTTTTTTCAATCATTTCTTTTCAAACACATTCAGATTCATCCTCCCTTTACCTTTGTCAAAAAAATCCTCTAAAGTAATCCAATTATTTAGGAAAGAATTCCCTGGCTCTGATGCATGGTGATTTCTTCTCCCACGTTTATCATACTTTCACGCGGTGGACAACAGACTTCTTCCAAATGTGGCTGACTGCAGATATGAAGCTATTGTTCTTGCTGATCATGCTCGTTTGTTTGAACATCCATTTTAAACTTTATCAGTTTTATTTCTCAGCAAATAGATTTTTGTATTAGTGTGAACAAAACTCCACATGTCTCTGCTGCTGTTTTAAGCCTATATTGGGGGGGAAATCAGTTCATGGATGAGAGCAAAATGAATTTGAAATTTTATCTACATGATCATTTATATGCCACATCCCTGTCCCCAGATATATAAAGAGCGCCTGTCTTTACAATCAGAGTTTGATATTCTTTTCTTTGTTTTGTGTGTGTGTGTGTTTAAAAGCATTAAATAAACCATAAAAAAACATTAACTTATCATTCTTCCTGCTGTAACTCAATACAGAAGCTTGTGCTCTGCCATCCGAGTCCGGCCCATGCCGTGCAAGCTTCCGTATGTTTTACTTTGAGGCCAGCACTCAGTCTTGTAAGCCATTCATCTATGGAGGCTGCAGGGGAAACCTAAACCGTTATGGTAGTGAGGAAGAGTGCATGTCATCTTGCCATGGGAAAGAGGGTAAGAGTACAGAAATTCTGCTTCCTGTTGTATGTAGTTGCCTTTGCTTTGCTGGTGGCTTATGTTGTACTACTTTTATGTAGGGAGGTTTGATGAACATGGTCATCTCAAACGTGGCCGCTGGACTCCAGGTGAGGCATTGTTGAACACCTGAAATTACTTTAATATAAGTTCAATTTAACTATATACAGTATATGAATTTATTATAATTTACATACAACGATTTCTGATTAAAATAAATACAAATAAGATTATTTTGAACTTTCTATTCATCAAAAAATGCATGAATCAAATATATCATGGTTTCCACAAAAATACGAAGCAGTATAAGAAATGTTTCTTGAGCAGAAAATCGTATTAGAATAATTTCTGAAGGATTATGTGACACTGAAGAGTAGAATAATGAATCTGACAATCCAGGTTTGGAATAAATTACTTTTTAAAATATATTCAAATGGAAAACGGTTATTTAAAACTGTAACAATATTACTATTTCTACTGTTTTTGATCAAATGACAGCATTGGTACCAAAAAAATTCATACCAACCCTAAAATGTTCATATATTTACTGTAAGTACAATGTGTAATGCATGTACTCTACAGATTCATTTTATTAACTTTAATACTTTTTTATATTATTTATTGTTTTTTGGCAATTTCACATTGCATATTTTACGTGCAAAATGTACAAAGTGTTTACTTACACCAGGTACCTTGTTGGCAGAGGCTGTTTACACAAACTCCGCCCACTATTGTCTGTTTGAGCCAGACAAGATTAACAAAGAAATCCCACCCATAACAGGATCAGTGTGTTAAGAGTAAGGCGGGTGCCGTTTGCTTTTGACGTGACCGACTCGAGTTCGAATCCGCCTTTTACCAAACAATTCTTTTTCCTTTTCCCATCACAAGTCAGCTCAGAGTAGCATTTATTGTAAATAAAAATGAAGAAAACATTCAAAAAGTGCCATACGTGTATTTAATAGTGAGAATAAATGTTTAACTGGTAGGTGCAGAGTAGGGTTTTAGGTCCCAATAAGGCAGCATCCATTTAATATCCATAAATATAATCATATACACTGAACATGTTGTTATTGTACACTGTTTTCTAATATACTACAGTATACTGAGGTGCAAATAGTATCTGCCACTCTCTAAAAACTATTTACACTTAGTGCAAATAAACTACTTTTTGTTGCTATTTACACTTAACATCTATTGTTGTTTACACTCAGTGCCCAAAACTGAACATGTCTTGTGTCTCTTCCAGCCTTCTTCCTAGTGGCCACCCTGGCCATCATGTCTGCCCTACTTCTGGTAGGTTTGATCCTGATCGCAGTGCGCAGAAACTCCCAGAAACAGTTTATCACACTGGATGACAAGGAGGAGTTACTGCCTGAAGAGGACCCGGTGTCTTATGAGAAGCTACCCAAAGTGGTTTCCAACTAAAGCCGGATGCCTTTCAGTGTCTGGTACAAACTTCCATCTCATCACACTCCAGCTTTCAGATCAATTAAAACCCACTGAGAATTTAAGTTAAGTTCCAATTTGAGTACATTTTCTAAGATTTTAAATTATCAACAAAGAGCATTATACATATGATACATGCAATCTGCAAATGTCTTCCACAAATGAGGAAGCAGTTAAGTATAACGTGCATGTTTCATGGTTAAATGGGATATTCTACACTTTTTGTTTAATTGTAAAAGTGGGAGATATTGTTCTATACTTCGGTGAGTTGATTGAAATACTTCTGTTACCTTCTTTGTCATCTGTCACTTTTTATGGTTATACACATGAAGTAAATCAGCTTTCAGGGATATATTTATCACAAACGTAATGACAAAGAATATGATTAATAATGGAGTGGTTTCCCATAAACTGTTTTGACTTCACTTACATGTATATGTTTCTATACATTTATACATAAGAATAATTCATTGATGATTTTTTTTAATGGCTTATAACAACAAGCATGGCACATTTTTTCTCTAGATTTCATTGGTGAGAATGATCCTATGAATGTCAAAATATATCTGTAGCAAAATGCATGCTTAAAACTGAATGCCTTTTAACTGAACTGTAACTGTTTTATTCATACCAGCCTATATTTTTTTCAAGCATTGTTATTTTCAAATCTTCAACAATAAAGGTAATTCAATCAGTTATTATTTTTTTTTCAAGTTTATTGAAACTCCAAGCTAAATTCCACTGCCACTCTTTAATATCTTCTGTTTAAACACACAGACACAATTAAACCATTAGGGCAAGAGTTAACTAGATAATGAAGCTAGATTATACCCGGAAGGTCATGACAGAGGGATTTTTCAGAAATGTCAGGGACAGGATGTCACGCATGTTGTTTTTTAGCCTGTGTGTTTTTTGCCTTTTCCTGAATTGTTCAATTTTCCCTTTTTTTTTACTGTTTACTGCTAAAAATGTTGCAGAAGCCTTTTTTTATTGATAGCATTTAATTTTTTTTTTAATAAAAGGTGTTCTTCAATCAGTGTAAACGGCAAGTTACTCTCATGACAGCATGCTCTGCTATATAGCCATGTAAATGTTCAGTCAATTTAAGACTTTAAAATATGTACCAGAATCCGAAACAGACTTTCAAAGTATATTTTTAAAACATTGCTGAGCAAAAGAGAACACACACACACACACACACACACACACACACAAACATCTAGCCCGCTAGTGGTCATTCACGTTCACATTTGACTAACCACTAGGGGGCGATGGTGGATTTGATGTTGGCAAAGTCTAGGAATACAAGGAAACGCAAAGTAGGCCTACTGCATTATTTTGGTCTTGTTTTAATTAATATCACATGTATCTCACTCCAATAATGAAATTGTATTTTAGATACTCAAGTTAATACTTTACTCTGAATGAAAACTAGTGAGTCACAGACATGAGCACTTCTGTCACATCTCATAATCCCCTTAGAATGTAGTATCACAATATATTTTTCAAGTCCATCTTTATTACTTTTCATGTTTTTAAATAGCAAAAACTTTTTTACGGGCAGAGTGAACCTAATTTATGATCTAACTGTATTTTTCGTAAGAGAAATATTCTCACGCACAGAGCAGCATTTGGAATGTAGTTTCTGTCTTTGTCTCAGCAAGCTGAGACCTCTGAAATTAGGTCATAAAGACCGAGCGATTAGCTCATTTCCCAGTCATGTAAAATCACCCCCTCTGCTCACACAAAACAGGGAAAAAAAGGAAGGCAGGAGAACATGACAAAAAGTCGGCCTAACATGGCAAACTTACTACAAAGCCTTTGTGTCGAGCACTACAAGTTTACTACAGTAAGAACAACCCAACTAGACTGGGTTAAATGTAAATGAAGATGGAGGTGTTTTGGAAAACCTGAGAAAGTTGGAGGAATGAGGGGGGTCATGGCTCACACTAGATCACGAAAGTGCAGTGTGGGAAACGCACTGTGTTTACAGAGTGCCTGCAAGCCTCCCCATTCGTGTACTGCAGGGCTCCAGGATGTTGTAAGGGCCTTTTGTGTTTAAGTGTGTATCTGAGCCTTGGCCTATGTAACCCTTGCATGTTGTCAGTGCCCGTGGTCATCTGGTTTCCATCCCGCATAAGTGTAATTGTGCTTATTTAGTGTGACACCCCTCCTTTCTCCTCCCTCCTCACCAATCACGCCAGCTGCCCAACTAACTGCATGTATACTCGGCATTCCATGAATGTGAGAGCGCCAAGCCTCCTAATGGACCCAAACACACAATCTTCTTGACTTGAAGTTTATTGAGAGTTTTAAAGACAGACATTTCTAAACAGACTGCAAAGCCACTTTACTTTTGTATGCAAAAAAAAAAAAAAAAAAAAAACTGTTAAAAACATATATTTTCTGCTATTTTACTTTTTTATTAAAGGTACTCTCACAAGGGCAGGATGAGTCACCAATATTTTTGTTCCAATATCCTGGAAGAGAAAGACTCATTTATAAATGCATACATGCATCTTCATTTTGTCAACTAGACATTAACCAAAACCGTACCAGACTTTGAGGATGCAAAATTTGTGATATGATATCATGCTCAACGGTTTCCTGTTATGTTTCAAACCAGCACAGCTACTTCATGTTTAGCGTTCTTTACACCGTGATGTTTTATTCTTCTATTGGTCACAAGGGATACGACTTCGCAGGTCAACGCACACAAAACATGAACTTTGGAATGCAGCGAAAATTGCATGAGTTTGCGTTTTTGGGCCCTCGCATTTGCATGTTATTTATTTTCTCAAAGGTATCACCGTGGAACTCTGGCCTCTCTATCGCCATCAGTGGCTGAAACATGAAATTGCATAATGAAATGTGCTGAATTTTTCTTTTTTTTTTTAATACATCAGTTCTCATCTGCATGGATGAATCTGATTGTTTGTATGGTGGCATGTGATCACCATCTGAGTTTATATATTAGTCTACATTGGCAGCAAGAATGTTGTATTCTGTCATGTAAAATTGTCTTTGTATATATGTATCAGACGTACTGTAGGTGCAGAACAATTTTCCGCGAGGATAAATAAACTTAATCTAATTAAAAAAAAGAAGAAGAAACCAAAAGATAATCCAAAATACATGTTGTTTGAGCAAGTATCTCCCACCATAATATTCAGACCAGTTTACCGACAAAATTGTGGTCTTGCAGGAAAACAATTATTTTGCGAGGTGGCAATTCCATATGAATTTGTAAAATGTTTGAATTATATGCAATCAATTAATTAAAAATACAATTTATTTAAGCAAAGGTCCAATCCACCAACCAAACCCCTTAACATAACTGTCACTATCCTGGTTTCCATTGCAGTTTTGCGAAATATTTCTTTTTCAAATTGCCTGAAAAACCTCCTTATGCGAGCGTAAAAACTTTTTTTGTTTCCATTGAGCGTATTTTCAACTCGCAATTTCAATTTGCGCAATTTGAAGGGTAATGCCAATACTGTGAGCAGAACATAAAAATTAATGCAAATTACACAAAACATGAAATAGTGACGACTTTCCATGAGATTAAAGAGAGAGCACAATTGACAAGAACAACATTTTTTTTGTGCCTCATACATACAATTCTGAAGTGTAAGCTTGATTATAATACTTTTGGTGCCACACTATATGAATATACCTATACAAATGTAAATGAAATGATTTTAGCCACTTTATGCAAAATATATTTTAATTAGTAAGAATAGCCATGTGTACTTTTTAATACTTAATATCTCTATTTTTTAAGTTAAGGTGTAAAAAAGCTTTATGGTTTTCTCACCTGTGAGTGTGTTGTTTAAATTGATAAAACTCACAAGCCCTTTCACCCCTGCATCAGTTTATCCACCACTGCAGCCCTCTACACCTCTCAGGCCTGTCACCACATCTTTAGTGCCTGACAACAGACTACAATGAAAAACAGTAGAAGATCAACACAAACCACATCCGACTGAGAGATAGAGAGTGAAAAAACATGTCAAAATCTGGAAAGATTGGGTTATGATAAATGACATAGGAGAAAAAGAGAGAGTGCACTGGGGTGAGAGGCAGCCTCAGAGAAAGCCACTGGTGATGATGTCATGGCTTTGGCTCTCTAGAGCGTGGAGAGGGCCGGGCTTCAGCGCAGCGAAGGGGGACTGTAATTTGAGTGACCCCCATCTCAAATTGAAAGCAGTTGTGAATTCTCTCGAGGCTAAAGTTTAGCAATCCAGACTCGGCTCACGGTTCCCACGACACAGTCCGACCTCCCTCCTCACTCTGTCCCGATGTCCATTCTTTCTCTCTTTCCTTCCTAAAATCACTAGTCTCCGTGCCTATAAATGGGAAGTCTGGTGGCAGTTTCGAGGAAAGGCCATCACTGAAAAAGGCAATGAGGAGGACTCGCAGCATCCATGATTATTAAAAGAAATCTGAAATGGAAAATAGTTGGAGGCAGATAATTTAGGAGACTGTCGAGTGGCTAGACCGCACCCGCCTCGTTTTTCTCTCTACTTATCATTTTATCATCGTCTTTATCTTTCTTAGCAAGACAAACGTCTGTTCTGCAGCATCTGGGGAAAATGACCGGTGCAACCAACACACAGGAAAATATCTCTTAAGATCCCTTAAAATTTTAGATCAATTGACCTTTTATGACAAGCCAAGGTTTGTTCAGGATAGAAAACATCATGTAGTGTGATTCATATTGCTATTTATGTGTTAATAATTTGTGATATTTGTGGAAAAAAAAAACCCAGTCAACCCAGAGTGTACTGTGTAGAATTATTTTTTATACATAAATACACACAGATGCATGTATATATTTAAGAAATAAATGTGTTATTTGTATATAAAATATTTATATACACTATAAATTAGGGCTGTCAAACGATTAATCACGATTAATCGCATGTTTACATAATAAATGTGGGTGCACTGTGTATAGTTATTTTGTATATATAAATACACACACATGTAAATATGTTTAAGAAAAAAATATTATTTATATATAAAATATTTATATTTAATATAAATTATATATAAATCTATATACATGAAAATATTTCTTAAATATATACAAGCATGTGTGTGTATTTATAAACATAAAATAATTATACAGAGTGCAGAGTGTATTATGTAAACACAAACTTTTATTTTGGATGCGATTAATCGCGATTAATCATTTGACAGCCCTACTATAAATACAAAATAATTATACACGGTACACATACTGTATATTATGTAAACGCAAACTTTTATTTTGGATGTGATCAATAGTTGCACGGCCCTAAAAAATCCTAAAAAAGACACTTTTTACTTTCAAAAATATATTTAAAAAAATGGTTTTGAAATGGTTTTGTTAGGTGTAAGGTGAAAATGTATGACTTTTCACTGTGTTCTAAAGTTTTTTTAAACTATACTGAATGAACTATACTAGATGAAAGATTTGTCCTTTAGTTTATTGTGGAATCTCTTACATGTCTTTGACCCGTCTGTGATCTGAAAGTTTATATTTCAGTGATATTTCAGTGCTAAGGTTCATAGTAAGTAAGGTCTGTCTTAGAGAAAATAGAGCCAAGAGGTCTAAAGTCATTTGAGTTTCCTAATCCATCCACCGACTTGCCATGAATATTGTTGTTTCAGCAAATTGCTGGCGAGTTAAAATCTTCCAATCAAATTATGT